AAATAAAGCCATGTAGATCTCTAGTCTATTTGCCAATTTAGAGAGGACTATTCGTTATTTCGTTTCTGAGATAATCACAATGCTAGAATATGAGCTTTGCAGATTGTTTTTACAAAATATCTAGTGGGAGATTTAACTGGATATTGTTCTTCTTCCCACTGTAGAAAGTGGAATAGATTATAAATATTGGTGTAGTTGAGCTCTAGTGATGTTTCAGATATGTGTTGTTTAGCTAGTAAATCAGCTAGATTGTTAAGTATATTGTCAGAATGGGTCTAGACTTTATGAAAGATAAGATGTATATTAAACGATTTAGTAAGATTAAGAAGTGTGTGCCACAGTAGCTATGCGTTGAATTTTAAAGTTTTGTTAGGATTGATGGTTGTAGAATTAAGCTTAATAAATTTGGAGATGATTAATTGTAAGTCTGTATAGATATTAATAAGAGAGTTACGTAGAGTGGTTAAAATAGCTGATAAAATAGACAAGAGTTCTGCTTTATACAGTACGGGATAGCTAAAGATATCCAATAAAATTGGCTTACAAAAAAATATTATAGCTTACTAAAAAATTACTAAATAAAAAAATCCTCTTTCAAATTGATAATTTTTAAGTAAATCTACATTTCTGAAAGATGATTTTTTTTTATTTTTATTTTTGATAGCACAGTTATCATTCAAACTTTACATATTTTATATGTTAGTTACGAATTTGGCACGCAAGACCGACCAATTAAAATCAAGAGTTTGCATATCACGTGACTACCGACCAATCAGATCAATCAGAGTAAAAAACTTTTTTTAAATTCGATCTGCGTTATCAATCTTTTTTTAACTTTTAATCATTTTAATGCCAAAGATATCGAAACTGAAACAATTGAAGCAAAAAAAGCAAGCGTAGCTCGCTCTGTACGGATCAACACCAACATCAGCACCAGAGTTGCTGGGAACAGTACTACCACCAAAGGCAAGAACAACGCTGGCACCAGAATAAGCAGTAACGTCATTGACCTTGAGTCAAGCGTTGAATACGAAAGTGATAGCTTAAGCTCAGACATTTCTGAAGTTGACTATGACAGCCAAGGAGATGGTTACTTTCAAGACAATGATAATAATATAAAGTTAGCAATTAGTCGCTTCGTTGCGTCAGTAGCAAGTGTCAAAAAAAAAAAAAAAACCTGCCATTTATATTGGAAACTCCAAACGAACCAAGCAAAAGAAAAATAAAAAATTAAAGAATGTGGCTGCAGAATTACTAAAAATTTCACAATTCTTTTCTTCTACTGGTCCTCTATCAGCCGATAATGAACTTTCCAATGAAAGTAGGGACGAAAATGAAAGTAATAATGAGAGTGCAGCCGAAGATGAAATGATTTCTGAAACGATTGAATTTGTGAATAAAGTAATACGTGAAGGGCGACTTTCAGATCCTGAGAGGGCTCGCTACACGGCGGTTTTATATTTCCTCTAGCTATTATTAAATAGCAAAAAAAAAATAGAAGCGTCTAACGCAGTTGCTGAAGTTGTTGGTGGTGGGCCGTGGTTCGCAAGATGTGTTAGGAAGTGGGCAAACATTTGTATGGAAGGTATGTTCTTTATTATTTTAAATTTTTTTTTTAAATTTAATTTTTTTATTTTAATTTTTTTATTTTTTTATTTTTTAATTTATTTTAATTTAATTCTTTTCTTTCAGGAGAATTAATCAAGAGCTCTCGTGAAAAATACCCATCCAAAAGCCTGCTTAATGATGAGTTGGTCTCGCTTCAAGTAGCTGCTTACCTGCGTTTCCGAAAGTTCAAAGTGAATCCGGCAATAGTTAAAACTTATGTTGAGCAACAGGTTCTCCCCCAATTGAATATAGGATTTATACAATCTATTTCTATTCAAACTGTTCGTCGATGGATGCATAAACTTGGCTTTAAATATAAGCGTTATCGGAAAGGCAGCTATATCGATAGGCATGAAAGGCCGGATGTAGTTGCTTATCGTCAAGTCTTTCTTCAAAAAGTCACAGAATTTGAGCGATTTATGTCAAAATGGTATGTAAATACAGTAAATGGGAATGGTTCAGTGATTTTAATCATGTTCACAAAATTATGTAATTAAAATTAAAAGTATGATTAAAAAAAAAAAAAATTATATTTTTAATTTATTTTTATCATAAATGAAATTATGTTCTTTTTAATTTTAAGGAATGATGAAGGTTGTAGGTTTAGAACTTTTCCACAATTAGCAAATGGCGAGAAGGAGCATGTTTGGGTAACTTATGATGAGACTACCTTCCATACTTATGATGGACCACATGCTGTATAGAGCCCTAAAGGTGAAAATCCATTAAGAAAAAAAGGGTTAGGTCCTGGTATACACGTTAGTGATTTCTTAACCGAAACAATTGGATGGCTTAAAGATGATCTCGAAGAGACACATGAAATGATGGTGTTAGGTTCGCATTATGATGGATTTTGGGATACTCCAAAGCTTCTCAAACAAGTAAAACGTGTGGTAGATATCTTTGAGAGAACGCACCCAGGGTGCATAGGTAATGATGTGATATATTTT